TTTGCTATCATGGCTCTAAAACCTAATATTATTAGCGGACGAAACCCTTTGGGAACGGACTGGCCAAAAATGTGCTTGAGCTGAAAGTATGAAGAAGTAAAAAACGTTTAAGGGAAACTGAAGCCAAAAATTTACTTCTGCTTAACTTCAGATACATAAAATAGTTTTGCAGTTATTTCCATTCACTTCTTGTTGTTCAACCTTGGGCTCAAAATGATCAGTAGTAGTAGAATGTGACGTCCGTGGTGGAGAAATGACATACTTCTCACTTGAAAAGGCCGCATATCAACGCTTATTAAGTGCAAACCTCACATTTATTGGTCTTCATTTTGCAAGTATTAATGGCATGCAGCCCTTTCAGTTTGAGCCGACAAATTGTCCAGCTGCGGGTGAAGAACCAGTCGAACAGTACCGTAAAGACAGGGCCATCAATTATGGTACAATTGCTCCTTGTCGTTAACTAGTTGATTAGATGTACTTAGGCGTACAGCAAGTGCTGCTACTAAATTATTACTGAGTATTAACCATAGGTGAAAGGCTACGCTCCTGTGGGGAACTTGGGTACTAGCCTCACCCCCCAAAGAACACTGGGATACCCACATGTAGTGTCTGTCATCATATTTTTCTTCAGTTCCGTATTTTCTCTTGTATACTTTTGATTTCTTTATTTCTTCTACAACTACCGTTACCATGGACGTGACACAGATAGCCAACGGTGGAACAGTTCCTATGCGAGACGCAGATGCGATCAAACTGTTCATAGGGCAGGTCCCGAGAACGTGGGATGCTAAAGATCTCAGGCCCTATTTCGAAAGCTATGGACAAATACACGAGCTCACGGTGTTACGAGACCGAATAACTAAAAGTCATAAAGGTAATCTGGATTTTGTATATTCCTCTTGAAAATTTTTGAGCAATTTCTCATGTCTTTTGTGTTGTAGGTTGTGCATTTCTAACATTTTGCTCCCGCGAAGCTGCTTTGAGCGCTCAAAAGGACTTACACGAGAAGAAAACTTTACCCGGGGTAAGCTTCGTAAGTACAGAATGTAGTTGTTGGTAAGGTTTT